AATCGTCGGCGATGTCCAAGTCGTGGGAGAAACGACTGATTTGCATATTATGTCATTATTTTGCTGTTGGTTATGTTATTGCATGAATTGTAATGTCTGTTATGTTGGACTTTTTACTTTCCGTTTATGTATGTTTTTAATCTTGTATTATTAATTAACTGATGCTGTTAGTTACCGTAATATAAATGCGCAAAGGACGACAACCAAAACATAAATAATAACGCATAGTGAATAGTCCAAATAATATAATAATGTAGCGTCCACAAAATAACAACATGCTACACTCATAACTAATACAAAATAACAAAATAATAACAATATGAAACAACCCACAACATAGTGAATACTCAAAATGGCAATGAAACTACGACCATGGTGGCCATGGCCTATGTCGTGCATCCCTATCTGGCAGTATACGTCTGTCCCAGACTGGGTCACCCTGATGCACCCCTAGAGGTGGAGTGTGGAAGTCAACCATCGCCGCACGGATGAAATCATCTGATGGTCTTGCACTGCTGCCTGGCACATCAAAAGGGGTGTGTCTCTGACTGTGAGAATCTGTGGCTAGAGTCTCCCTACTGTCATGGCTCTCTGTAACAAGTCCTACAGAGCGATACAACTCAATCGTGTCCTCTGCAGACCAAAAGGGGTAATCGCCATCAAGTCCCTGTGAATAGGGCTGGAAATCAGGCTGTGAGGATGCCGGATCCGCTCCTGCCATAGCCATCGGACTAGCCTGGAAAACTGGCTCCTGCCCGCTCATGTAAGGGTGCTCAGACGCCGCCTGACTAGGACCTGCCGCATACTGCGATCCGTGATGATAAATCGACTGTGACACGTAAGTAGGACCAATGACTGGAGGTCTGAACCATCCCTGAGTCTCGACCACTGGTCTAGGTGCCATAATCGGGACAGGCTCAGCAGCAACTCTCTCACGTCTACGTCCTAATCCGCGTCCCTCCCGTCTATTACGAGGAACATCCACGATCAACTGAGGATCATGCTGTGTCTGCACGGGGGGTGCCTTAGGTCCAGGCTCATCAACTCGTGAACTCTCACGAAATATCCCAATAATCCGGCCTATCTCCTCGTGGATATACTGTAGTCCAAATCGAGGAAACTCCTCCGTCGCGGTTGCATGATAAAGCATTTCAAGACCGTCAATCTGCATATTACGAAAAAATGTTAGAAACGTGAAACAAATGTAAAATAAGTACAAAACTCACCATGCGCCCTATCTTTGCTGCCCTCCGAGATATGTAGCGCTTTCCCCCCTCTCTGTACCACTCCATGTACGCATGATTAGGTGACATCAAACCATATAATAGAGGTGGCAGTACAATATGCTGAATCCTGGTATTCCATCTATCAATGTGAGCCCTCAGCTTACGTCTCCAGTTCTCTTCAATCTTCCCCCGTAGAGTATGATCATGTATTCCTCTCAATTTTCTAGATTTTTCTGGGATGGGTTGATCAAGACCGAACTGTCGCATGCACCTATCCGGTTGACATGCCTCTACTGTGTGGAAGTAGATAATAGGTGGGGCAGCAAGCCACAGATACTGCTGCTGTGGAGTCACGTCAAGCCACTCATATTCTATATATGGCTGCCACACCACCTACAAACAAAATGTGAAACAATATATAGAGTTACAAAAAAAAAAATAAACCCATAGACAAATAACAACATCGTAAGTATCCAACACCAACCTCATCTCTATAGAGTGTGTCCCATGTTGCCCGATAATGGGTGACCTCATGAGGTTTAAACTTTTGTACAGCATTAAACCTGTCAATCAGAAACATTATAAACCATACATTATCAATCATAATCAAGAACTATACAGTTAGTATATACATTATTAACCATACATTATCGAAAACAAATGAAGTAAATAAATCATACCGGCATCCATAATGTGTGCCCGGCTCTGGATGAGGAGGAAGGGGTGGAGCAATGGGTGAGAATCGTATCCATGCCCAAATTTGAAGGAGAATATGGCAACCACCCATGTCGCTTCGACGGGCATCTGTCACTTCACACAAATTCCTGAACAAGTGTGTCAAAACTGCAGATCCCCAGCTGAATCGGCCAATGTCCTCAAATCCTCCACCTAGCAACGGGACAAGCCGGCAACCAAAATTGCTACCTCCAAACTTGTCCGCCAGCAACCAAGTCCCCAACATCCGGGCAATGTGGGCTTTTGTGAAGTAGATCTCGGCAGCATGATTCCCCTCATGATCAGTCCATCGGGTATAATGTCGATCCAAGAATGAGATGCGGAGGTCGCCGGAATGATGGAACTCACCGGCATCTGGAACATGTCCAAAAACAGCAGCACAAGCAGCGTGCCAATCCTCAGAGGTCGATCCGATGACGACAGTACCGTCGGTCGGCAAGCCCAAGATGCCTGCCACATCTTGTAAGGTGATCGTCATCTCACCTTGGGTCATGTGAAAGGTATGTGTCTCTGGTCTCCACCTCTCGACCAGAGCACTAATTAAAAATGTATCTATCTGTGATAAATTACGCAGTTATCACGTGTTAACGAATTTTATTAAATAATTACATAAATACAAAATGACATAAATAACATACCTGGATATGTTGCATCCTGGCAACATGTCTGAAACCAGCCTGTCTGAGGTACTCTTCCACAACCTGTGGAATAGCACCGGTAGGTGGGCCCCCTTGTGGCTTCCCACGCCTAGTCTTAATCTTTCTTACATACTCAGTATTCCACACTCGCTGTGAAATATGACCTTTCTGCGTCCTCTTACGAAGGACCTCCCACCTGTACGACCCATGTATGATCCACATGTTGGGATCGGTGAGCTCTACATCCGAATCAGATCCCGAAGAAGATGATGACTCAGCCATTATCCTCAACTATATAATATAAAACAACATTTAAATTAATCACATGTAATGTCCCATTTTATTTACAATTTAATTAAGCAGTGACATAATTGATTATCACAAAAATTAAGCATATGCGTCATTTATTTAACTAGAATCGAAATTTATGAAGTCCCGCCAAAACGTAGAACAATTATTTATTTGCAATTAAATAATAATAATACATCGGACAAAAATAATATAATACTAACTGAATACTTAACCCTAGGTCACTACCAACTTGTCCAATACATACTAATCATCACACCTATCTAACTAAAAAGTTATGCACTCCCGCATTAATAACATCATACATACGAAATTTACGATGTCCCTAACACTATTTATAAATCACTAATTAATATGCTAAACCCTAATGCATAATTAAAAATTAATAATAATAACTACGTAATAGTAAAATTACTATATCATTACAACATTCATAGCATGCCACAAAATTTCCAAATGACTATCCTAATGTTCCAAGTCTCTAATATACAATCAATCCTAACATGTATTACTAACTAGCACTGTAATTTAAATGTATACATATGAGGTATTATGACCTTACCTACGTTGGCAGAGCTTCGCTACGAACCGCGGTTAGAGAGAGGTTGGAGAGAGGTTAGAGAGGTAAATGAGTAAGGAGTGAAAAAAGGAAAGTGGGATATATATAGGTTGCACATGAGACGCCCCATTTGGGCGTCACATGTGACGCCCTAATGGGGCGTCTTCTCCAAGGGAGAGACGCCTCACTGGGGCGTCACATGTGACGCCCAAAGGGGGCATCTCATTGTGCAACAGAAGTGTAATTTTTAACAAAACAACATTAAATGCGTAATTATTTTAATTAATTACATTATTTTAATTTTTTTTGCCATAGAAATAACATCAAAGTTTGTCTTCAACAAACGATGAACCTACAACTATAATTCAGCCATAATGAAATAAATGGCAAAATTAACACAGCATTCTAGGAAATTACTAACTTTGGAGACTAGATTTGTCAATAAACTATCAATGTGCAAAAAGCCAAAATTGAAGGTGCTCAGTCAAAAAAATCAATATAAACTTTCAATGAGGGATCGATTTACGGAAAATTGAAGAAAAAAAAAATGTCCAGAGGGACATTGACAGAGAATGAAATAAAGAAAATTGAATTGTTGATAGGGATGATAATAATTAGTGAGATAATAGTATAAATTATAGCTGAAGGAGAATCAATTTTTTTTTTTTTGAATACAAGGAGAATCATCTTAGGTAAGCTGACGATTAAGGAGGAGATGATTGAGATTGGTTACTATTTTAGTGAGTGGTGATTTCAACAAGGAAGCAATGAAAATGAAAGATGACTCCTTTGAAGAATGGTGGTATTTAGAACATAAAGAAGATTCTGTTTGTGTGAAAAATGTCATGCCATAACTTATTTCTAACCCTATGAGACCCAATAAGGTATAAGGCTGCTTAACTTCTTATTTGTAAGGAACAAGTGTAAAAGTGACCATTTATTCTTTAGTTAGTTGACGTATTGAACTTATTAGGATGATACATGTCGACAACCGAATAACACTGCTCCATAAGAGGAGAGAATATTTAGCGCTTCCGGCCCATATACACCAACAGGGAAGAGAGAGAATGTGAAGAGGGGGAAGACAGAGGGAGAAAAAGATATCGGATCAACTTATCAAGAATTATGAAATAACCCAAAGAGGTGCTAATAATGACATAACAAATTACTACTAAAAACCGTAAGAATCCCTGACGGATTTAAATCCATTTCAAAAAATTGACGAGACTACCGATGGACGAGTAATTATTTAAAAAAAATAAAAAAAATCTCCTTTTTAATTTGTCTATGGATCCACCAATGGGCGAATTTGTTGGTGAATAAAGATGTTTGTATTCCCATCTGTTATTGATCTTAAAGAAAACAATATCTCTTATTCTTAATCTTATATATTTCGTGAGATTTGGATATTATGACTCGGTGCAACATCGGAGCTTCGCCACCAATGCAGCAAAAGAATCCACTGGCCAACACAAGAGAAGATGATAGACCACACAGTATAAAACAGATGAACTAACTAAAGGAAGTCACAGACAATAATGTACATAAAATGATCAATCCATAAAGAATCTAACAGTCAAAATGTCGATGGATAATTATCTACGTTTACAATAACCAAATATGACATTTGCACTGTCACTAATCACAATTGACTTTTAACATTCTTTCTATTAAACAATGCTGCAGATTTGAAACACTCTTCATACCTGCCGGAAAAAGGAGGAAATCTCATCGTGAGTATGGCATCTGGATAAGTAATAATATGTTAGTTTTTAGAGAGAAAGCTGAGAAAAACAGCAAAAGGAAAGGACAAAAGAATACTTTGGTAGTGTTTATTAAATCACAAACAAAGAACAAAGGAGAGGAATCTCATCCAAGAGTTTCCCTACAACTGGGCCAGTGCTCTGTTTTTCCAAATTAACAAATCTCCCCTTTCTTCCTACTAGTCGTCCTTCTATTTAAGCTAAACCCATGTTCTTCTTTCCAACCTCTCTAACTTACTAAATAATTATTCTAACTATTGATACCCTTGTAACTAACTGTTGATATTTGGGAATTTCTAACATAATATGATAAAGCAGTGTTATTAAATACATTCTACCATCCTGCAAAAAGTCCAAAACTAAAAATAAGATTAAACTCACAGGACAACTAGAAATGTTGATATTTGGGAATTTCTAACATAATCTGATAAAGCAGTGTTATTAAATACATTCTACCATCCTGCAAAAGGTCCAAAACTAAAAATAAGATTAACTCCCAGGACAACTAGAAATACGGCAAGATTTCCTCATACAAGTATAAAGATTTCTAAATTAGACTCACACCTACGAACACACTATTTGCAGCAGCACTCGGTTTAAGAGGGTCCATTACATTAAAAATTAAAATATCCCAGCCCAGAATATCTAATCAAATTTAAATATACTAACTTGACTTTCTTCATCATGAATGTTACTGGTTAGAGGGTTCAAGTATTATTGTATTATTGCACTCGTGAAGATAAAATTTGCCACAAGGACATCGTTTATAGAAAACATCAAAACTTGAATGTAATATATAGATAACTCATACAAACAATTTCAAGAATTGAAAGCTTTTAAAGAGTTAAAAGGCCATAAAAATAACAAGCATGACTTCTATAAAGTTCAACAATGAAGAGATGAACCATAATTTGTGTCATTGATAATTGACATTTATATGGTCCTTCATATAGGAAAAAAACACATATGAAGTCAGCAGAGATAAGATATTTATATTTTCAAACTTCTTATAGATTGTTAGAAGATGTGGCTAGTTATCAAATTAGAAGGTATGGTCAAATCCAATTCAATTCCAATAAAAGACAAGTAGACCACCAAGTTCAAGCTCCACATATTATCTCTCAAAAGTATCAGTTTAGAAACATCGGAGCCTGGAAGCTGATCTGGCAAAGGTGGATGGAGGCAGCCAGGAACTGAAATTCTAGTAGCTTTCCAAAGCCTGAACATGGCAGCAGTACAAGATATTCTAGTCTTTAATGTAAACTCATATGGCATGTTTGTGTCTGTGTGAAGTCCCTAAGCATGGCTTATGCCGGCTTGTTTTGTTAGGTAGACATATTAATAACCAAACAGAAAAATGATACTTAGATGGGCTTTAAAAGGGAAAGACTATGGGTAGTTCAGCAGAGAATGACAGTAACTCAAACATTCTGAAAGTACTACTTGGGATGCAAACCCACTTATGACATTGAATGTTTCCAGTTCAATCTGACCTCCAATCCTTCTAACTGACCACATTAATCTTCCAAGTCCTATACAAATAAAAAAATATTAAAATAAGCTGTGAGTTGTGAAATTTTCCTTTCAATGCATCCACTAGCTGATAATATCCGTGATATAAGACATGACATGGAGGCATACTGCAACACAGCAAAATCCAACGTGTCTAGGTAAGTAGGTATTTTTTAAAGTCTTCTGTTGGGTTATGAGGGATGCAACATGTGACTATGATGTGGCCAAGTTTGCGTATAGCAGGAAAAAAAAAAAAAAGGCCAAGAGCCCAACCCATTGCTGAAATAGGAGGAAGTGGACAAGAGAAAGAAGTGGGAGCAGGAGCCCAATCCAATGCTGAAATCGGAGAAAAAGGCAAGAACAAAATGTGTGAGCAGATGGCAAAAATAACCGTAAGCAACACACAGAAAAGAGAAGAGAGAGTTTGTTACAAAACAGTACACGTGGCAAGCTGTGAATGGTGAGGAAGATTCCATGATCGTGGGAAGGGAAGAGGGTAATATTAAGGGAAATGAGGATGGTGAGGAAAAGGAAGGGAATTGAGTCAGAAAAGGGGGTGAATGAGGCGCTGGTTGGCAGGCCTCTGAGCATGGTAGGTTTTGGGGTTCTTTACTCAACTACACTTTAATTTCTTGTGACATTGTTATGTGTCCCGTGATTGCTCTACTGCAATTTATAGAGTCCTTATCTTTTGGAGTTTGTGAGTTGCAGGAGCTAGTCTCCAACATTTTCCATCAGTAATATAATACCATTTTTACCAGTACCATCAGACTACTCTCATATTCAAGCTTGAGCTATGAACTCAAATCTCCGAGAACCATAAAATTTCAACCATATCCTATAAAGATCACTTTCCCAATTAAACAACACAACATTTTTTGCATTTAAATGGTATAAAGATATTTTAGCAGCAGGCTTAAATATGTTTTAGTCCCTGCAAAATTGACCTTTTTTGGTTTTGGACCCTACAATTTCAAAATCTTTAAATTAGTCCTTATAAGTTCTACTTCCTCCCAATATCATTCTTATGATAGTGTGCTGCCAAAGAATGGACATTATGTTAAGAGATAAAATTCTAAATTGTTGAAACATATACAAGATATTAGAAAAGGGAACGCTTCATCTTATTCCTTCAATATACCAGGCCATTTATAGGCAAAATACAAAATCCAAGAAAAAATGAAATACACTGGTACGGCCCAGGCCCAGGCCCAAGCAATTCAATTGGTTAATGGGTTGTTAGGAGGGGAAGGATCTAGAAGGGATGTGCAACTGAAAATGGGCGGGAAGGTTAGCTATATAAGAGGGAGGCATGGGAAGCATGAGGGGATAATCTTGGATTTGGAATAGGCTTGGAACTTGGGAGAGACTAGGGCCTCTCGAATGCTCTAGAGTTGTCACTGTTATTGTCTATTTCCTTTACTCTAATTACCTTTCATTACTGTCATTGTAAGGTCTATTAGGAAACTTGTCTCTTTTATTGTAATTACTGATACATTGTATTTCTGTTTGCAAGTAAAATGCTTCTGTTTAGTTGTTTCTTTGAATCTGTTCTATTGATACCTATCAATTGGTATCAAAGCACTCCGATCCTAAGGGTGCTTTGAACCTAGCTATTATATAAAATAAAATAAAATGGAAAACAGATTTGAGAGATTGGAGAAGATGAGAAAAGCGGAGGAGACCCATGCAGAGATAATGAGGCTCCTCGACTAGATTTTACAGAACGTTTCTCAACTAAATAGAGGTTCGCGAAGAAGACGACCCGAGCGGCAACAGGGAGATCCAAGTTGTAGGAATGATGGAGAATTTTATGGTTCTATGGTTCACGAGAAGAAATTGGAGTTACTAGAGTTTGAAGGAGAAGAAGCCTATGGATGGCTAACCAAGGTAGTGCAGTACTTTGAAACGTATGAAATACCTGAAACAGAGAGGCTTCCTCGAGTTGCGAAATTGATGAAAGGTCAAGCTAGTGCTTGGTGGTGGTGCTGGAGCGGAATATATGTGAATGCCTCTTGGTGGGAATTTGTTACGGCGCTACTCAAACGATTTCAACCAGATTTTAGTATTTGCCATGAGGAAGTAGGTGCGGAACTGACAAAAACCGAATTGAAGATGGAAAAAAAATCCTGAAATGTGGAAGACGATGAGGAAGGAAACGATGAAGAGGAAAAAACGAAATTGGGCTTGGATAAATCATGATTTCGAAGTGGCTAGAGGAAGCAACTGGGCCGAAACAAATAAAATAACGCAGCCCATTTCTGCAAACAATTACCAGCCCACGCATACAAACCAAGTCGCAGCAAGTGGAAGGCACGTGACCAACAATTCCTCTCATTTTAACCCTAGGTTGGACAACACGAAGGCAACACAAACAGCAAAAGTGGCTGTCATGCGAACTAATTCGCGTGTCACCTCAGGCGAAAATTCTGCAAGTAGCTTGAAGGTGGACGTTGTGGAAAGCTATCGAACGGAGCGGTTGCAGAAACCAGCTACGTTGACAGAGAAGAAGACGAAGGAGACGACGGTGCGTGAAGCCATAGATGGAGAGAAGGAGGAAGAAGATGAACTGGAAGTTTTGAAGCCACAAATAGATTTACTACATTCTACTCCAGAGATCAAAATGCAGCAAGATTCCTTTTCGGAGGAGAGAACGAAAGCCAAGAACAAGCATGTGGCGAACGAGGAAGAAATCGAAATTCATAAGGAGAAGAACATTCAAGGAAAATTCTTGGGACCTATTGGCAGGAGTTGGGCCCCAGTTCTGAATCAGGCAGCATTGGGCCAGCAAACCAGTTTGGGTTCAGCTGAGGTTAAAGGGTGGACTGTTTTGAATATGGGCCAAGGGAATTCAACGAATCTAACCCATTCATCAACCGTGAATTCCAGCCTCTTGAATGTGGGTCATTTTAACCCAATTCAAACGGGTTCTTTAAACCCATCACCCGCTCCACAACATTACCCAAATATGGGTCAATCTAACCCGCGAAACACCAGCGAAATCCCTAGGACAGCGATCACGAAGGGGACAACTCAGACCATGAATTTGGGGGTCAGTGGTGATCCAGCTCGCGAAAGTCAAGCTCGTAATTGTCGACGTCTCCCACAAGCAGAGTTGCGAGATCGGCCAGTGGTGTTTCAAATGTGATGAGCAGTGGCACCCCAACCATAAATGTCAGGTCCGCCAACTACATCTGCTACTGGTTGACGCTAACGACGAGGAAGAAGGTGAGGGGAACGAAGATGGAGCGACGGTGGCAGCTATTCCAGACGTTGGCAAATCAGTAGAGGACCAAAACCCTTTACTTGAGGAGGTTGTCAATACCCAGGTCAGTTTCGCTAATTTTTCAGAGCTTGTCCTCCCGGGTGATGCACCTAGTAGCCTAGTTTCAAACCGCCTTGGATCATGGCTGATAGTCAAAATGGAGAAAGATGGAGCATAGAGATCTTGGAGCTGTCTTGAAGCATGGCATGAGTCAGGGGACTTTGAGGTAGTCCGGTATCACATCAAGGTATGTCATTGGCCTTTTGATGTTGAAGAAAGAAAACAATTTTGGAAAGCACATTTGTTCATTGAAGAGGAATTCAAGAAGGCTGTTTGGACTCAATGGCCTAAAATTAGAGTGAACTTTGTGGGATTTTGTAGGAATTATGTTCTTGACATCTCGGAACAAAATCAAAATCATAATAGGGTTTGCATAGTTAATAAAGACAAACATGATATTTTATATGTTGTGAATTCTGATTTTTTGAGAATGGAAGGCACACAAGAATATTCACTGCCTAGTTGTGTGAACCGGTGGAAAGTTACTGGAAATCTGATAAATGGAGCTCATGTTACTAGTTCCAAACGGGTAGATAAGGGTTCAAGTGCAGAAACGGAATGGGACCTTGGTGGGCTCTCTGATGTTTTAGAAAGCCATTGTCATATACCTTTCATGTAGTGGGATCCGGGTGGTGGAGGTTGTGCCATCTCTTGCCTTAATGGATCCTTAAGGTTCAAGCAATGGGATCCCGGAGGCAACATCTTTGTTATCTGTACTCACCTTGAGGACAAGGTGATTATTTTGGGGGGGGGGGGGGGGGGGGTATTGATACGGCCCAGGCCCAAGCAATTCAGTTGGTTAATGGGTTGTTAGGAGGGGAAGGATCTAGAAAGGATGTGCAACTGAAAATGGGCGGGAAAGTTAGCTGTATAAAAGGGAGGCATGGGAAGCATGAGGGGATCATCTTGGATTTGGAATAGGCTTGGAACTTGGGAGAGACTAGGGCCTCTCGCATGCTCTAGAGTTGTCACTGTTATTGTCTATTTCCTTTACTCTAATTACCTTTCATTACTGTCATTGTAAGGTCTATTAGGAAACTCGTCTCTTTTATTGCAATTACTGATACATTACATTGTACTTCTGTTTGCAAGTAAAATGCTTCTGTTTAGTTGTTCCTTTGAATCTGTTCTATCGATGCCTATCATACACCAATGAAGGGGCTCATTACAATACCAATAAAAAGTCCCATTTCACCACTAATAAGAGCCCATACCAATAAATACCCATAAACACCAATTGCACCACATAATTATATCACTAATAAACATCAATAATACCACACCAATAAGCATAACTATTCAGCTTTCTGACTAACACAAGAAAACAAAGAGACAAAAGACTTTTCTACACAAATAGTTCCCACTTCCCAGCACTTGGTCGCTGCTAGCTCAAAGGCAATGCCGCCTATTACCTATATCTAAAATGTGACCGAAGAAAAAGTAATTCTCTAATGAGAAAGAATGGCTATCACTACAATCACATCCACAAAAATCCAAAAGCAAACTGAGAGCATGAACTAACAGCTTAGAGCTACCTCATCATTTTACTTCCGGCATTAAAATAGGAAACACTATACAATAATTATAGCATGAAGCCAACCATATGAAAGAAACGAAATTGAAAAGAGAAAACAGTGAGTTCCTTACTTAAATATGAAACATTGAGTGTTACTCAATCGAGGTCTTCTTGCCTGGTTTCTGATTCAAAATTACAATTTGATTCCCCATCACTGTTTTGGCTGTTATTGGCATTCCTAACATTGCTTGTCTCAGCAACTGAAGAAAACTGCCTAAAGGGCCATGGCAAAGGAACCCTAAACCTCTGCTCCCTGGGTGACTCTCCAAACGAATCAGCGGCACCTACACCTACAGATTGGCCCCGATTCTCTGGAGCCCTTTGCTCATAGTCAGGATCATCAGTTGGTAACTCATGACGACACACGGGACAAGAATTGTGCAATTCCAACCAGGGCAGGATGCAATCGGAATGATAAATGTGTTTACACGGCATCTGCTTGGCCAATTCCCGGAGCTCGAATGTGTCTTTACACACTGCACACTGCGACGAATCCGAAGCCAACAATTCTTCTGTAATCGAGATGTTGGGGAGCCCCTCGATAGCAGACTTGGAGGCTGGGGGTGTCCCGTACCGGTTGGGATCGTTCTCCGCAAGGTGCTGAATCAATTGCTCCAGACCGGGCCCGAAAAAGTAATCGCCAAGGTTGAGATTGGTGGGGAGACGAAATGTTCCACTAGGGTCCCCCGAGTTGTCGATCACGAACTGAACATTAGCGCCACCAGCCCTCAGGGTTTGAATGTAGTTCTGAAGGAAAACCAAAGGGTTAAAGGCGTCGGCATCTCCGAATGGGGACGATCGACCGCCGAAGAGAGTGGGGAGATCGTCGCTGCCAAACTCGTAGGTGAAAGACAAGGAATGAGGATTGTTTGGAATTGGATTTTCCACTTCCATGATGAAGCCACCGTTGCAATCGGGGCAAACGACGAGATCAGAGGAAGGAGTAAAGGTGACAGTGCGGTTGCACTGATAGCAGAAATATTGCTGAGGAGCGTCGGAGGTAACGCCGCCGCCGGCAGAAGACATGTCAATTCGAAGGTAAATAGAGAGAGAGGATACAGCGCGAGGTATAAGGAAAATGAAAAGAAGAGGACCAAACAGCGAAAGGGTTGCAAGTAACAAAGGAAACTCAGGAGGGAGAGAGAGAGAGAGGGGACAGGTGGCACAATTGTAAAATTGTCAACATCGAAGCCAATGGGTGGTGGATTCATGGGTTGATGGGACATGTCCCAGACTCCCAGACATACTTTCTCCATACCATACTATTATCTCATTTTTATATAGTTTTTGAGTTTTATAATTCTTTTTTTCTACTTGATATGAATTTTACGGAAGAGTGATCATTTTGTCACACTTAACAAAAAAATTTATCAGATTGTCACGTCAATAGTAAATTTTGTCAAAATGACACGCTGCACCCTTAGCCGTCGTTGAAGAAGTCTGAAAATAATTAAGAGTTAAGATAAGATAATGTGAATTAGTTATATTTTCAGACTTCTTCAACGACAGCTAAGGGTGCAGCGTGGCATTTTGGCAAAAGTTACTGTTGGCGTGGCAGGCTGGTAAATTTTTTTACCAAGTGTGGCAAAATGGTCATTTTACACACAATTTTTTTTAATATGTGGATCTTCTATGACTTTTTTTCTTTCTGGCATAAAAATCATCTTCTTATATAAGATGAAAATTATAAAACCTATAGTTTTTATTATTTAATTATAGTTACATTTTTTTTTTTACAAATGTATATTTGTTATCAAGGGCGAAGAAGGCCTCTTTCGGCTAATCCTCTGAGCTACAGGCCCGACCCCCTTTGTGAGGAGGCACCCCTTCTCCCGAATAATAAAAATAAGATAAATGTTATGTAAACCAGAAGAGAGTAGATGTGACAACCTCCCTTGTACGCGTCCAAGGGAGTTGTCTGCTAAGCGGATTAGAGTCGAACGAATTTTTTTTAAAAAGACTAAGAACTGCATTTTCAAGTTACTAATTCACTCTTATATTTAAAATCTAGTGGTTTACTGAAATCAGAGTGCAGCTTTACAAAATACATGAATTGCTGAAATAGTAGTTTTCCTGAAAAACCTTGCTGCCTTGAGAAAATCGTGTAAAATCAAGTTCAGCAGCTTAAAAAAATATTCTTTGATACAAGAAAACTAAATATTCGGGGCTATACGTGCATATAAAAATCATTTCATTCGGAGGTGTTTAGCCCCTCGAAACAGAATTCGCAAGGTGAGAGATAATTCAATGAAATTGTTCCAAAACGACCTGACGTGTAAAAATCATAATAAATCAAGCTTTCAGAATTTCATTGTAAAGTTTTTATAATATGAAACTAGACACCTGGGGCTATGCGTGCATATAAATTATAAGTAAATTGGAGATCTGTAGCCTCAGAAGAGGAACTCGCAAAGTGCCCGTAAAAATAGTTTACAAATCAGCATTCAAAACGTACAGAAAATAGATGTGTAAAGTATGAGCAGAATCTTACAACTTACAACTAATCATAAAGATCCACATACAAAAATTTATGGCATGTTCTAACATTTTCTTCCAGCATCTAAAAATATTACATCCTACTATAGTGATCAGCCAACAATCAATAGACACAACATGTCATCATCAAAATTCCCAAAATAGCAGCATCAATTAAACAATACATATCCAACCCCGAAGGGGTGAGAAAAATCTCAGTAGTGTGATAGTAAAACCAATAATGCAACAATATTAAACTAGACACAGAATTCCAAAACAGTCGCATCAACATTTAAAATTCTGTACAGCTGTTAATCATCATCTTATTGCGCATATAACGCCATGGTCATGTATATTCATAATAGTCATAATAGTGCGTATATAACGCCATTTCCTTGTTAGTGCGTATATAACGCCATCATTACGCTCATAGCACCGTCGTGCGCGTACTAACATACACAGTGGATATTCCATGATGGCTCCGCAAAGGTGAATTCCAACTGCGGCCTATGCGGATGGAAGCCAAGTGTCCCATACCCTGGTACCGAAGGGATGCCTATATGATGCGTGCTTAAACGTATGCATATTTATATAAATATTCTAATCCATGAACAGCATGAAATTCGTGCATGTATGCCATGATATGCTTCACACACACAAAAAAAACAAATGAATTATGAGGTGTATATGCATGACTAGATCATCATCATAATAGCATATATTTCATGTACTTTCCGTACAAAGCTGCCACATAACAATTACTTCTCATACATGATTTTCCATCTTGTCACATTCATAGGCAGCATACATAGCATACATATAGCATATAACAGCACATTAATCCAAGGCACGTGTGAGCAACAATTCACAATTCTATACGCTAGCTAATAGTCACATTAGGTAATACCACCAAACACTTACCTTGTGTCCAAGCAATAATCAACAGCACCAAAATTCAGCTCACTCAATAAGAGTTACGTGCACCTAAATACATGTGTGACAAGTTAGAATTGGTTTCATGCTATTCCTATAATTTATCAACAAATTTTCATGCTTCTAATTCTTATTCTGTAATCGGTTTCCATACATACAATTCGGTTTTTCATGGTCCCTAGACTAAATTGAATTTTCTTATTTAGAGTTAATACCCCAATTCGTTAACAGTGAAAAAAATCCATATTAATCCTATAATTTCCAAGTCATTTCCATTCTTCCCATTCTTGTATTTTATTCGATTTATCAAGCATCTACAGCTAATGGTTCACTGCCTAAATTTTTATCCCAACAATTGCTAGCAAAACAAAATCTCCAAGGTTTCACAAGCATGCAGGTTCGGTTCTCTTAGCATTAAAAGGTGTTTATGACTTTCCTTTATATAAGCAACTCCACTCAGCCTAAGAGTGCGCTAAGAGGGTTTACTAACGTGCTGTACATTTGGTTTAACTCATGTAAATCTACTAAATTCCTTTCTAATACCGTGAACAGTCTCCACCTTAGGAAAAACTATATTCCAAGCTTCAAAAATAACCCTCTGTATTTGTACACACAATGCCCAACTCGGTTTAAACATGGCAAAATTGGGAGGATAAAATTTGATAAAACTACTCCTTAACCTACACTTGTAAGTTCAGGTTTTAAGACAGAATTTGGTGCACATAATTTATCCATGTATTCAAAACTTTATACCAAGCTTGAGTGAGACTGAACAAGGTCTTAGACCAGCTGAGTATATAATTTCAGTACACACCAAGTTACCCAATTTTTCCAATCCACACAGAACCAGTTTCTATTATGAAAGGTGTTTAGGATGTTTTATTCATATTTTTACCCTACAACTTATGGTGCGCTAACATGAACTAAGACAAACTGTCCAATTTATTTCATTCCAGTAAAGCTGGATACAGCAGCATACGCGCATTATTTTCCAAGTTCCAAAATTTTGCTATAGACATGCATGCAACCAAAATATACGGTTTGAAGGGAATTAAGTGAGGGATGGCACAAACAGAAAATCATTTCCTTGAATACCACAAAACCGAAACAGAGAAAATGGTAGGACTAGGTTCATGCTAATTTACCTCCTTACAAATGAGCTACGGTTCACAATTAAGCCAAGAATAAAGTCCCCAACGTAGGTGTCAAGGTTCTCACTCTTTTACTCTCCCAAGTCCACGAACTCAGCCACATGCAAGGGAGTTTATTTAGTCTCAATGAATCCGATTCCCAGCTCCTTGATGATGGTTGCTTTGGCTGGAAAGGAGAAGAAGAGATCACTGATTCTGCATGCAGAGGGACTCTTCATCAACCGAAGGTGGTAGAATGGAGCAAGGAAGCAGCAAAGAATTTACTTCTCCACCTAGTTGTGTCTAAGGCCGAACCGAAAGGGGAAAGAAAAAGGAAGTTAGATGATGGTGGTTCTTCTGCTGGTACAGCCCACGGTTGTGAGGGCAAGGAGGGGAATGGATCGGTTTAGGACAACATGCATAAGGTCATCTCCATATGGTTAGAGTTTTACGCATAAGAGCAGCTGAGTTACTCAGATTTTTCTAAGAGAATTGAAGCACACATAGAGTATTCAGTTTTAATGGATTAACAGATACATCCTTGGAGACAAATGGTGGTTTGGCCGAACCATGGAGCAAGGGAACAAATGTCCAAGTGTCCCCCTTTGTGTGTAGGGTGGCGGACATGCAAGGAGAAGTAGAAGGGCATGTGGCGGTCATGCAAGGGAATAAGAGGGCTAGGTGTCACGCATGCAAGAGGTTAATGATATTAGTTGCCAAGTGTAGATCCTAAACCAATCATAGACTGCCTTAAAGGACTCTTAAGATAAGGCTAAGATAACAAGGGTTTAGGGCTGAATTAGGTCTCTCCTAATGGCTCATGGGCCATCGACTTAGGGGGAAATTGGGTTCTAGAATTTAAGTTCACATGCTCTCATACCTTGTGAATTAACTCATGCATTATTATTTTATGTACCCTCCAATTATTAACTAAGGGTTTATTCTTTGTAATAACATTAATCACATACCTTTAAAGAGTAAGTAGTGTTATGCTTTCTATATACTATAATTTAATTATTGCTATACTTATAACTAGAACTTCACATGGGTAAAATAGGTACTCACCTTCCATGATGATACCAACAATCCCTAATTTAATTTAACTCCATTCTAAAGCAAACATTTAAATAATCCGAAGGCAAATACTCTACCACATTCCTAATTGTAATTTATATAGGTTCCTAATTAGACGGGATGTTAAAGTAGAGATAACTTTTCATTGTATTGGAATATCTTTGAGCTTTACATGCTTATATTTATCAACTCTAAATACATTGTAAGTTAAAACTTAACCAATAATTACAATAAATTATTTCTAGGAGCTATAAATTGGAATAATATTTTAGAGTTATTGATACCCATATAATTATATTTTTATAACACTCCCTTGGGTGTTCATTGAAATGATGGACATCCATACAATTATATTATTATCTCGGTGAAACTTTATTAGAAAAACCCAGTGGGAAATAAAATTCTAGTAAATGAAAAATAGTATATATTTTTAGTAATACGTATT